TCAAGAAATGGCAGCTGAACTTTTTTTAATGCAAATAATGATTTGGATATAATTAATATTGAAAATGATCAAAACCACTTGGCCAGAATCAAGAGATATAACATTATGAATAATTTACCCATGATGAATAGAATAAATATTCTGTAGGTACTGAGTGATTAACATATTTGAAGTATTTGATATTTGTAATGAAAATATTTTGTAAATATCTAAAAGTAATTAAAAATCACATTCTGAATTGTATTTGAAATATTTTATGTATTTGTACATAGCTCCAAAATACTGAAGGCATTTGAAATACTGAATATTTGTTTCAAATAATTACAAAGGGATACAAATAATTAAAAAGTAATGGAGAGTATTGAATGGACTTTAATATAATTGAAATACAGTATTTGGTGCATTGAAAATAAATTAGTACAGTAATGAAAATTTGATTGGAATGATTGTAAGGTACCTAATTGAAATAATGAAAGAGTAAGTATTTGAGGGTATACCATATTTAAAAAGTTGTTTGCCCCTCAGTGATTCACCATCAATGCCTACCTGTAATTTGGATATTACTGAACTGATATTTCATTTTTCAGTGATATTTTTGTTGTATAAAAAACAATAATAGTTGACTTCCTCAAATGAATTATTCTCCCTGTATTTTTTTTCACTTGGTTAAAGATATCATTAAGAATTCAATTATATGATGTTTGATGGATTTTAAAATAGATTGAGTCCACCAAGTTACAAGTGGGACATTTATGGTGAATCACCACACTATGCTCAGCTTGAAAACCAAAGTTTATATTGATCTCAAACAATATTAAATTAAAAAAACATTTCAATATCAAACAACTTTTGTTTTTGAAATGTTCACATACTTATCTCCAGAAATAACAAAGTTCAATTTCAAGATGTTTCCATACTCATCAATTCATGGTTTAGTGAAATAATATTCAGTGAGATTTTATATATTTTATTATTGGAAATTGAATCAGTTTATCAGAACAGTGTTTTTATTGAAGTTACAAACAAAATATAGATCAACTAATTCAGTGATTAATTCAGGTACAAAAAGGAACTAAAAAACTTCAAAATTCACATTTTTTCTATCATCTTCTCAAAAAGATCCAGGAACTTATCCTGTCTACCTAATTTCTCCTTATGCCTATCATTAGCATTAGGAAGGGCTTTCCTCTTTCTTTAAAATGTAGAAACAAAACTTTCATCAGTTGAATCTGTTGTGTTAGGCTCTAGGCTCTTCAACATTCAATATCAGTCCTTTGCTACTGTTGCAAGGGGCAAGGGGGTTTATTTGCAAATACTGCTTCCATGGCATCTAAAAATTGCCATATATGGTGTCTATGTTCAGAAGTATTATTCTTTAATTTTATGACTTTATAAGTTATTTTTAGACCTTTCCATTTTGTCTCCACATTTGTTTGGGTAGATTCTGTTGTCCCTAAATTATTATTCAAGGATTTAGCAATCTTGGACCAAACTAATCTTTTCATAGTAGTGTCAAAAAGCTTTTCATTGTCTTTATATACACTCAAAGAAATTAATGGGTTATATCAACCAAAAAGAGCATATGAAAATGAGCCTACCTAGATTAATGATTATATCAACCAGCAAACAATAGTCAAATGAGTTAAGTCACCATACAAAAGAAATTGGTTATATCAACCAAGAAGAGCATATGGAAATGAGCCTACCTATATTAATAATTATATCAACCAGCAAACAATAGTTAAATAAGTTGGGTCACCATACAAATGAAATTGTTGTCTTGATCACGAAAATTAGTTTTCAACCAGTTTTAAGTCTGACAACAATTTTTTATTCTCATAAACAAATGGTCGTTTGGTCATCATACATAACGGTACCTCAACAAAATGAGTGGTCAGTTAACCTCTCTTTTGTCAAGTCATTTCATCTCTCTTGTTTAGTTAACATTCTAGATCGTACGACTACAAAATAAATAGTATGTCAACCATTATTTTTGTCCCTAACAAAATAAGTGGTACGTTACCCTCTTCTTTATTAAGTCATTCAATCTCTGTTGTTCAATTAACATTCTAGATAGTACTACTACATAATAAATAGTATGTTAAACATTATTTTTGTCCCTAACAAAATCCTTGACATGTAGTTTCTAACAAAAAATAAAATGATAATAAAATTAACAGTCTTAGTGTGTGCGAACTCACAACGAATAACGATCGATATACAGTGATTATCAGTGAATAAAAAAAATATTTCTTCATTGACATACCCTGTACAGAAGGAACATTCAGTTTACAAAAACAAAAACTAAAAAAATAAATCAAACATAACATCGTATTATAGATATTTTAGTACTCATAACTAACATAAATAATACTTCGGTCGAACATATGTATGACCATTAGACAATTGATACATATGAATAGGTGCATGAAAAAATTCATGCACCAGTGTTGAAAATATGTAAAAATTGTTAGTCTTATTCAATACCCTGTAAGATTGAAAATGTCTATTCATTTGTTCAATATCATGTTCAACACATATCAAGTAACAGTCTTTTACATTTTTTTTCATCTCAACAGCTATCTGAACAACTTCGTATAATTTCAAAGACTTGGAAAACAAAAAGAAACCTTGTTTATATCGGGTATTTTTATAAGTTACTTCTCTGAAGAGAGTTAAATTGTTATTGCTCAACGTGTCAGCATTGATTACGTTCAAATTTTGAATATGTTCATAGTAATATTGCTCTTTCAATGATGATTTGATACCACTTTCAATGTCATATCCTAAGTTATCATTCAGTCCTTTTTTTTTCAATAGTCTGTCGCAGAATTTGAGAGAACACTTGATACCAACAGAGTAAGGAATATTTCTACGAGAGTTTGTATTATTAGTATATATTTTTATATCCCTGTGTTTTGCTTCGAATCTGAAACACCAAATGTACCTTATTGGTCCCATTTGTGTGATAATTGTAGGGTAATGTGTGAGGAAATGAAATTTGGGTTTCAATGTATCACCAAATAACTTAATATATTGAGTATGGTGCTGCGCAATTTTTTTTGAAAGTTCTTTCAAAATATTTTCATCGAATTCGACCGTCAGTAATATATCCATCAATTGTATTAAAAAAAAAATGAGTTTCCAATATTCATTCGATGTTGGTACTAGGTCCCCAATGAGAAGTGGCAAGATGTGACAAAATGTCCACATTTCAGCAGCGGACATATGTAACCTGAATGACTGTATATGATTCATTTTTATCGGTGGAGAAGCATTTCCAATTTCAGTTGGTCCTAGGTTGAATGATTGCTTACGACTATTTAAAATGTCCAAAGAAAATAACTTGTCTTTAATGATAAATTGGTATAAAACTGGGGTAATATCGTAGTTACAAACACCCTCAAAGAAATCATGCATGATATCTGCTACAAAATTAGTAGTAACATGAAAACTACCAATTGTATTGAAAATCGAGGGTTCTCTCAAGCCACTGAGCTTTATTCGTTTAGCTACATCATCTTCAGAGTCGATATCTGCATCATAGTTGGTTTGATTTCTCAACTTTGAAGTTATTTCTTTACAAGCCGAAACTATTTCTGACTGATCACATCTACAAATTCGGCAAGGATGGCAACTTTTAAAACTTTTCGTAAATCTCAAGAGAGAATTCAATCCCAAATTATCACCAACAACAGCACTCAGAAGAAAATATACATGAAATGTTCCTTCTTTAGTATTCAGTAATAACCCGTCTTCCTCCAATGATTTTATTTCCTGAATTAAAATATTAAGGCAGGCATCATTCCCATGTCGAGAATCTTTCGATTTATATACAAGTGCTACAAATATATTGTCTAATGATGATAAATAATGTTGGGGAAGTGTTGGAAAATTGTAATAAAATGCTGCTATAGACTGTTCTGTAGCATGGGAACCTAGGGCATTATTTATTTCAAGATCATCATAATATAGAATGTAGGGGATAACTGTTTTGTTTTTGAATTTGGCTACTTTGGCTTTCCACACTTCACCATGAATTATATTTGTATTAACATTTCTTGCTTGATTGTCTGACACCAATTTTTGCATATTATCAAGTGTTATGTGCAAGTTATTACCTAGCTCAAAAAATTTTTGGAACTGAAACTTCAATGGCATGATCATACCTTTACTTCTGTTTTCGTTCATACGTACATTATTGCTTGAGACCACTGGTCCTATTTCATTATTTATATCAAATATTCTTGGTTCTCTATAGCAATCTTTTTCCTCTACTGTTTTTATATATTTGTGGAAAGTTTTGAAATTTTTAAATGGATTTCTACAAAATTTAAGAATATTATTGTACTGTTCCCATTGTACTGTTTCATGCTGAAAATTAGCAACAAAAAAGTTTTCAATTTCAGATATCATATTATTCAATAGATTTTTTATTATTTCTGATATGATTTCTTCAACATCTGTTCTTGCAAAATTTGATTTACTATGAAGGTTGCTCATGAAGAGTAACGCCGATGATTCAATATGTTCTAAAACGGATTCTAATGTATGTGGATTGACCGAGGGATTGTCAGATTTTTCATGTTCCAATGATGTACCTGCTACATTATTCAAACTGGTAGCCTCTATTCGGAAATCTGAATTTTTGGCACTTTCAATCAGACAACCGTTCTCGGTCCTAAAATGTTTTTTAAACGCCTTTAGAGATTGAAAAGTATGTGAGCATTCAATACAAACAAAGTTATCTGAGGGTCGTAATTGATGAAAATATTTTAAGTGTGTTATCAATTGTTCAACATTGAAATTGGTATCAATATCAAATCTTATGCATTCGAAACATTTAGGCATTTTGATACAATAATAATTCAAATCTCAATAGAAACAGTTATTCCATCGAAAATTATTTGCAAAACAATTTTCCAAAAATATTCAGAAACTGTATTGGACACTAACTCGGACACTAGAAATTTGAGGTACGAAAAATTGTTCAACAAGTATTAATTTAAATCTTGTATTAGGCATAAAACAGTTGGTGATACATTATCACCCACAGAATCAATTTGAAAAAAATATTTCTGAACAAATATCCAAAAACTGTAGCTATCTTTTGGATACTGTAAATCTAAAATATGAAAAATTTTAAAACAACAGTCAAATGCAGCCATGAAATTGCTGAACTTATATTTTATGTTATCATAAAAAACTATGAATTCTGTAATTTGGAATAAATCAGTTCCTACTCCAATTATTATAGGCTGAAGTGTTTCACTTCGACTAATCAGTGTATTTCTGTATGTGTCTATTTTTCTTTCGAAATCATTAAGAACTTTGACATGCATGAAAAAGGAGTCCTGGGAATCTTTGATAGTCGATTTAACAATTTGTTTTTTGTTTTCTTTTTTCACAGTATGTTTAACAGTTGGTGGTAGCAGTGCGTGAATCAGCAAACCAACTATCAGATCATATGCTGAACCATCTGTAAGATATTAAATAATGTGAATCAATTTTTATTCAGATTTAGAAAAATGATATAGTAAGAAATTTAAATACCTATGTCAAAGAATAATCCAATGATTTTTTTGATTAAGCATAAAATATAATATAATATGATAATTTCAACTTCAAATAAAGTTATATAATGTAACGGGTGGCCCATTAGTGTGTGGAAGTGAAATAATGGCTTCGCTGTTCGAGATACGTGAACAAAAAATGTTTGAGATGGTCTAGGCTTATGAGCAGCACATTTCTAAAATATTTTGCGATAAACAGGGTGACTAAAAAATCCGTGGCGTATCATAGTTATATACTTCTTCTTATAGGACGCCCTGTATTATATTGCATTTTCAGATTCTCAATTGTGAGCTGATTTCGTCGATATATCACACTTCAGGTTTAAGACAAATGATTACAGGGTGTGAAAAATCGAGATTTTTCAACTTTCGGAATTAATTGAGTCAAAAGTACTCATTATTGGTCAAAACGGCTAACATGTCCTTATTTTAACTTTCGACTTAGTATCTTGGACGAATACAGTGATTCATAATTTACAATCATGAACCATATATACATATAGGTATATACAAACAGAATGTCATCAACCTCCTCAAGTTAGTTAATTATAATTAAATGTCAGTAGATAGTTGATCAACAGTTATGATAGGGACATGTTAGCCGTTTTGAGCTAATGAGTACTTTTGACTCAAGAAATTCCGAAAGTTGAAAAATCTCGATTTATCACCCTGTAATCATTTGCCTCAAACCTAAAGTGTGACATATAGACGAAATCAGCTCACAAGGGAGAATCTGAAAATGCAATAAAATACAGGGTATCCCAAAATTAAAAGTATAACTTTGATACACCATGCATTTTTTAGTCATCCTGTATAACGCAAAATATTTTAGAAATGTGTTTCTCACAAGCCTAGACCATCTCAACAATTCTCGTTCCATCTATCTCAAACAGCGTAGCCGTTAGCTCACTTTCACACACTAATGGGCCACCCTCAGTGACGGCTCGTGCCCTCAGAACCTGGGTCGGCCAGGGATAGATATTGCTCTAAAATGCGAACGTAACACGTTGGGTCAGCGGCTTGAGTGAAGTTCGATGGCAAATAAGCATGTACAGGGTGATTCACCATTATTGTCTTCCCCTCTAGCTCACTTCATTTTTGACCCGATTTAAAAATCTGAAGGATGATCAGAAATGATTTCTCAGAATTTTTTTCCCGTTTCATCAGGAAATACAGGGTGCTCGGAACAAAATGATCTACAGAGTACTACTCGATTTTTCCAAATGGAACACCCTGTAATTCATTGTATTTTTAGATTCTTCCTAAAGAGCTGATTTCATCAATGCATCACACTTGGGGTCTAGCGGGAATGATAACAGAGATATAGGGTGTTCAAAATCGAGATTTTTCATGTTTAGGATTTTTTTGTCTCGAAACTATTCATTATTGGTCGGAACAGCTCCTATGTTTCCATCATAATTTTTGATTAACTGTCTATTGAGATTTGATTGGAACATTTACAGGGTGGTTCAAGATTCAGAATTCTGATCAACCTGTAATTAAATGTCAGTAGATAGTAAATCAAAAGTTGAGATATGGACATGAAAGCCGTTTTGACCGATGATGAATAGTTTCGTCTCAAAAAAATCCTAAAGTTGAAAAATCTCGATTTTGAACACCCTATATCTCTGTAATCATTCCCGATAGACCCCAAGTGTGATACATTGAGCAAATCAGCTCTTCAGGGAGAATCTAAAAATACAATGAAGAATAGGGTGTTCCATATAAAAAAATCAAATGGTACCCTGTAGATCGTTTGTTCTGAGCACCCTGTATTTTCTGATGTAGCGGAAAAAAACTCACTCAAAAATCATTCAAGATGATATTTCAAATTTCGAAATCGGTTTAAAAATAACTGAGCTAGAGGGGGGGACATTTATGGTGAATCACCCTGTACACATAACCAAAAAATTAAATTGTCCAGCAAGAACCACGAGGTTAGAGCATTCTCGCCAGGGGAAATGGGAAAAGGAGGTGGATAAGGGTTAGTTTTATGAAAAAATAATAACAAGAAAGTCGAAAAAATAAAATGAAAGAAAATAAAAATAAAATAACTCGTGAACAAAAAATATTTATATTCTGTTGAAAACGTAACGTGAACTCAAAAAAATCAACATAACCGACAACCACTCACCTAACGCGAGAAGCACAACAATGACTAAATCGCAAAATCGGTCTACGCTCTACGCCGTTCCTGTAAGCCACCCCACTCCTTCGTAGTCGGCTGGCCGAGCCCGCCGTGCAGCCGTAGGTATAATCAGGAGTGTATAATCTCTGGTATAATGTTTCCCGCGATGGATGCATGTATATTATTTATAACCGCTACATGCGTCTTTGAGAATATATAATATTCTGGAAGTTGTACATTTATTAATTTATTACATTTTCGTCACCAGGTTACAAATTCAAAAATCACCAGTCATTTTTACTGCAACTACTGCAAGCGTGAACAAAAACATCGAAATTTTTTTTTTCAGTTTGTACATTTCAAATTTCAACATCAACTCACAAATAAGTATAGGAATAAAAATTATAAATACCTACAATGTAAAATGAAAATAGAATGTCAATCATGCCAATCCGTATATTAAAAATTAGGTCGGAATAGTCGGATACGGTGCACAGCGAGCGCACTGCAAACTATACTGATTACGTACGTACGGACGGCCAGCAAAGCTTGGCCGCACCCAAGGTATGACGCGTATCGTTCGCGTATACGCGAGAATTCAAACTTGAAGCGGAGAATCTGTAGGCAATGCGTCCAGACAAGAAACCACCGATCGGCCGGCCGTCTGCATCAGTGTAATGAGCTACGCGAGTGTTTCAACTTAAAGCGGCGTTTTGACGATGGGATTACCAGATGTCGTAGGTCCTGAATTAGTTCGTGATTTTCGGAGTATATGCGGATGGCATACTCAAAGGTTCCAGTGAATTTAATTGAAATAATAGTGGCATAACAGTAGGATAATGAACGATGAATTATGAAAACAGTTTCGGAAAATAATTGTATTCATCAAATAATTCAGTAATTTTCCCTAAATTATTTGGTACGGCCCGGCCGACCCTGCCGTCCCTGACGAGCCGTCACTGGCCACCCTAGTATCATATAATAATATCTTACCTTCAGAATTCCCTGATGTGTTCACTAACTTGAGGAGGTTGATATTCTGTTTGTCTTTAACCTTGTCATTCAGGATAGGTACAATTTTGGTTCTGAAGTTGGGCCAATTCCTCAAAAGATTGAATGCTTTGTCTTCATATAATTTGGAGAAGTCCAATCCAATCTACAAAACACACATTATATTCTATACCAGAAAATTGTCTCATCTTTACCAAAACAAATCCATCCGAGTGTTTGAATAAGGGCCAACGTTTCAGAATATCTTGAGTATAATTCTCTTTATTTGTAATCTCTCTTCTACGTAATCTGTAGGTGTTTCCCCATTTATCCTCCACCACGCCCCAAGGACTGTTATTTAATAGTAGCCATAGTTTATCATCTTCTTTCTGCAAAACATTTTTAGAATTGAAATATGTATTTAATTTTCAATTGATTCAATTCATGAATGATACTCACATCATTTCCATCATCTGACGAATTCTCATCATGAAAATTACCAGGGGAGACTACATCACTGGTACTCCCTGATGCTGGGGAAGAGATAATTCCTAGTTTTCGTAATCTTTTAGTATGGTTCTGGTACTTGTCATACAACCTTCCAGAGGGTATATTCCCAGTTCTTCTGTAGTAAATGATCTGAAAATAAATGAGATTCTTGGAAGACTGTTCACTGATACATACCGACTGATGGTCCAACGAAAAGTATGCAGCTACATTTTACTTGATTTTTTGGGATTTTCTCCCCTCGTTTCTATGAAATAAAAATATGCGTATTATTTCAATATATTTGTAGTGGGACAAATCAGATGATTTGCCCCAAAATGTCGCTGCGTTTAACAAATTTTTTTATCAGGGAGCCTAAAAGAAAAATGCAGTAGCTTGTCAGTGACACTTTGTTTGAAAAAATGTTCTAAGAAAAGAAATATAGATATATTGAAAAAATATGGAATTTTTACTTATCTTAGGCTCCCTGATAGGAAAATTTGTTGAACGCAGTGACTTTTTGGGGCAAATCATCTGATTTGTCCCACTTCAATAATATTGAAATAATACGCATATTCTTATCTTATAGAAACGAGGAGAGAAAATCCCAAAAAATCAAGTAAAATGAATGTACCACCTCCTCGATTAACCTACAGACAGTATTTAGTATGCACCTAGTTTTTCTCCTTTTTTGGTATTTATTACAAAAATGCTAGAAAACGTTGATTTTGATTTTGAGGGGGAAACATTTTAGATATTTATATTCCTCTGAGCATTTTCACTATTAATTCCAAAAAAACGAGAAAAACGAGAAAAGCTTGGTGCATCCTTTTCGTTGACTCACTCTGTATACTTGTTATAGTGTTGGTTGATATTGAAAGCAATCAACATCAGTTGATTGAATATTCAGTTTGTCTTGAGAAAAATAATAATGATTAGGAATGAATATTTGAACTTCATCATTGATTTCATACAGTGCTGTGTAAGAAATTCAGTTGAATTATTACCAAACTAAATACACAATAATTACAATTCGACCCCCAAATACATTTCTATATACTCACATCAGTAATTAATAAATAGTTACTCACTTTGTTGTCGTTGAAGTGTCTTTGAATGTCAGATGCTAATACTTCGAACATCGATCGAGATATTTTTATTGAGTGTTGCATATGCCATCTTATTATTGCATCTATTATTATTTTTCGGGACGCGTCATCTAATTTTTTATTTTTATCGAATATTCTGAAAACATAGTCCCCATTCGCAGATTCTCTTACCACCTCAAGGAGGTTCTAGAAGAAAACATATGAATATATATGTATATATTGTGTGCATGGTGGATGTTTGAGAACACTTCAACACCCTAGGACTTGAAGAGAAACTATAAAACTTGAATTTGGTATTGAAGAGATGCTGTTTTGAGTAAGTTGTAGAAAAAATATTTTTTGTGACTTACAAAAGAGTTTGAATACGGATTTGCTTTGCGCAGGTATCCAGCCTGATGAGAGCTGGATTCTACTGTTTCTTTGTTTTCACTTGTGACCGAGCTTGGGACATTACTTATAGTGTCACATGTTGACCATGTAGTCACTTTCTGAAATTATATTTTGTTTTATAAAAGTACAGTATGTCTTACTAAGTTGGAACCATATGGAAAACTTTGTTATTATTCATTTTTGGAAAAAGCGAGGAAAGAAATTATTCTTCATAAAAAGTTCCGCTTGTTCTAAAATCTAAAATACAATCATCAGATTTCAGTCGTATTAATTTTATACTCGAGTAAAGTACATTTATGTTTATAGGAGGTGTTTTTGATATAAGTACATATATATTCAGCACATCGACATAATACAGTCTAACCATATATTCCCATGATATCAGATTTTTTCAAAATCTTCTGATTAACGAGAAATTTCATCCCGAAAATTAAACAAAACAAAAGAAAAAATATAGTACGCCACTTCAAAACATTCTAGATGATTGAACTCCGCGTGATTGTGCCTTCCGCACGAAAATATGAACAGAATTGAAAGTCTAACCCCAAATTTCATTTATATCCCTATATTTTTTTATTGGTGCCATTCGATAGTATACGTCGAGCTCTCTCAGGGTTTGAAATGTTTACACTTATTTCAATTATGTACTTCGTTGGTATGTATGTACAGTTAGATGCAATGAAAATGTCGCACATAGGCGGTGATAGCACCTTGTCACTTCTGCAATAAGAGCGCTAACACCATCCAACCGCGACATGTCCTTTGCATTTGACTGTACATGCCAACTGGCCATCGACCTTACGAGAGGTCCTTCAGCTCATGTGTGTTCGGTGTAGGCTTTGCCACGAACTCCATACGCCACTTCAGAAGCAGCACTGCTGTTAATTGGAACGCAACAGCGAATCGTGAGAAATCATTTCCGGCCGCAACTACGAAAATTAGAATTTATAACTCCTGTTATAAATAAAAATTCTCTGCTCTGCTGGGGATCGAACCTAGCAACCTTTCGGTATTCTGATTGCTAGTCGAGCGCTCAATCACTGCGCTATTCCGCCGTCAAGTACGCATTCATATTTGACAATATCGGGAAATCATATTGAAAAAAGTTGTTCAGAACTGAAAACTACATTCAAATGTGCAATAACATCCATAGACATTTGAAAATTGAGTTGTTATTTACCTATTACTGTTTTTTTTTTCTAATTTGAATTGACATTTATCTCTTTTGATTATGAAACACATGATCACCTTTTAGTTTCTTAATGTTTTGTAATCATTTTATAAATTTAACACAGAATGAAATATGATGATACAAATGCATCGAGGAATGGATATATAGGTATGTATGCATTGTTCTTGTAGACAAAATAAGAAAAGATAATTTTTCCATGTAAATGAATGTAATTGCATATTTGAATGTAGTTTTCAGTTCTGAACAACGTTTTTCAAGAAGAATTTTCGATATTGTCAAATAAACAGGTTACTTTTACTCTTGAGTACAACTCACATTTTTTGACACATCACAAATACGACTGAAAAAAATTGATATATGATGATTGTTTTCAGATTTCAGAACATGCAGAACTTTTTATGAATAAGAATAACTTCTTTCCTGAAATGAATAATAAAAAAGTTTTCCATATATGGTTCCAACTTTAGTGATACATACTGTTACGATTTTACTCTGGGTCCGTAATAACTTAACACTCGGTATAACACTTAAAATAATTTATTCTGAACACTACTATACAATAATTACAATACTCGTACTAAACACTTCTTCGATCGTTATTATAACGCTTCCAAATAAAGACTTCCCTTCCTGTCCCTAACAACAACTAATTATACTACCTAATAAAACGTCTAGATTCCACTCGAAATATCGTGAACAGGTCGATAATCTTCTCGAGTCATCTCAATAGCCGTCGATTTCTATTCCAAGAAATATGGTTTATTTACTGCCGTAGCAGGTAGCTAAGATTGATCGCCAGGGTCGTAACATTTACCCCCTTCTTCAAATTTGATCGTCCCGATCAAAAACAAAACTTTCCTCACCATGATAAGGCTTCAGTCTTTCAAGATGAACGACTTTCATCTTTGTCCTAGGGCTGCGTTGGATTCTGTAGACCACATCGTTGATCCTTTTCAACACCGTATACGGTCCTTCCCAAGATGGTGTTAATTTGGGTGATACGCCTTTCTTCCGTCGAGGATTATACAGCCAAACTCGATCTCCTTCGAAGAATCCCTCTGAATTGGCTTTGAGATCGTACCGTGCCTTCATTTTGTCACTTGCTAATTTCAATCTCTTCCGAGCAGTCTCATGAATTTTCATCAAGCCATTCCGGAGCTCATCTGCGTAGTCTTGTACTTCCTTTTCTTCAACACTTGGTGAACCGAACACCAAGTCACAAGGTAAGCGGAGTTCTCTTCCAAAGACTATACTAGCTGGAGTTAGCTTCGTTGAATCATGGACAGCTGCTCTATACGCCATCAGGAATAAGGGAAGATGCCTGTCCCAGTTCCTCTGATGCTCTTCGACTACTTTGGAAAGATGTTCTTCCATAGTTCGGTTGAATCTTTCGACCATGCCATCGGATTGTGGATGTAGAGGAGTTGTTCTCGTCTTACTGATTCCCATTAGATCACAGACCTTTTTGAATAAGTTCGACTCAAAATTTCTCCCTTGATCAGAATGTAATTCCATTGGTACTCCGAACCGTGAGAACATGTTGTCGACCAATATCCTGGCAACTGTGGAGGCTTCTTGGTTTGGCATGCCGTATGCTTCTACCCACTTACTGAAGTAGTCCATAGCAACCAAGATGTATTTATTTCCATCATCAGTCAAAGGGAATGGTCCGGCTACATCGATGGCGATCCTTTCAAACGGTGCACCCACATTGTATTGCTTCATTCCAGCTCTTGATCTCGTTCTGGGACCTTTACTGGCTTCGCATACAGGACATCTTCTACACCAACTTTCCACGTCGTCACGACATTGAACCCAGTAAAATCTTTCTCGAATTTTACTCAATGTCTTGTTAACTCCAAAATGTCCACCAGATTTTCCGCCATGGACTTCTTTCAGAACTTCATTAACTCTGATGTGGGGCACAACCAGCTGAGAAATTGTTGATCTACCATCAGCTGATTCCCAAACTCGCTTCAATAATCCATTCTCCACAACTAGTGAGTCCCATTGTGCCCACATCGCCTTGAAAGCAGGCCCTCTATCCGAGATATCCTTCCATGTCGGTCTTTCTGTTCCTCTTTCTTTCCAACGTAGAAAATCGGCGATATTCGGATCGTTCTCCTGATCTCGTCTCATGTGTGCTGCTGTCCACTTATCATCGGTCACAAATCTGGTTTTTCTAACATCAGCGGTTCCTTCTCGATGTTCAATGCGCAGACAATGCTTACAGGTTTCCGAACAAGGTCTTCTGGACATGGCATCTGCATTCTGCATCTTGAAGTGATACTGGTTCAGCTTTTCCAGCCATCCTGCTATTTGACCTTCAGGATTCTTCATCTCCATCAGCCACCTTAAAGCTGCATGATCCGTCCTAATGAGAAATTCTCTCCCGTATAAATATTTGTGGAAATGGTCAACAGCCTTAACAATTGCCAGCAGTTCTTTCCTGGTGACACAATAATTCCTTTCTGGTTTGGCCGTCACTTTGTTGTAGTATTCTAACCTTTTCTTGACCATCCTGTACTTGTGATAGCACGGCTCCAATTCCGATGTTACTCGCGTCTGTGTCCAAAATAAACAAGCCTCTCTCTTGTGGGAACCCCAAAATAGGACTCGAACAGAGGCCAGCCTTCAATTTCTTGAAGGATTTCTCACATTCTACAGACCAGTTGAAGTTGACTCGTTCTTCTGTCAATCTATGGAGTGGTGCCGCAATATCAGCAAATCCTTCCACAAAACGACGGTAGTAAGTGCACAATCCCAAGAAACTTCTAACTTCATGTTTGTGCTTCGGTCTTGGCCAGTCTCGAATGGCTTGAATCTTTGTCTCGTCAGTTTGTATTCCTTCTGACGTTACCGTGTGGCCCAAGAAATCTACTCGTTTCTGGAATAGTGAACATTTCTTCAGGTTCAGTTTGAGGTTGGCATTCCTGAATCGCTGGAACACTTCCCGTAAGTTCTTCAGGTGTTCCTCGAAATTCTTTCCCATGACCAAAACATCGTCCAGATATACCAGGCAAGTTTTCCAAGTGAGCCCACGCAGTACCAATTCCATCAGTCTCTCAAAAGTTGCTGGAGCATTACATAGTCCAAAAGGCATCACAGTAAACTGGTACAGTCCATTACCAGTCGTAAAAGCAGTCTTCTCCTTATCTTCTTCGTGAATGCCCACTTGCCAATATCCGCTCTTCAAGTCCAGTGTCAAAAACCATCGGGAGCCAGCCAATGTAGTCAAAGTGTCATCAATCCTTGGTAACGGGTAGCTATCCTTCTTGGTGACGTCATTGAGCTTCCTATAATCCACACAGAATCTTGTGGATCCATCCTTCTTGGACACTAATACAACCGGTGCAGACCAAGGGCTGGATGATTCTTCAATTACCCCATCCTTCATCATTTTGTCAACCAGCTGTTCCACCTCCTGTTGCTTAGCAAATGGCATTCTTCTTGGTGGTTGTCGAATTGGGTGAGCTTTACCAATATCTATTTTGTGCTTGACCAAGTTCGTCCGCCCTGTTGATGTTGATTCAAAGATATCACTTTCGTCTGCTATGAATCTCTTGGCAGCTTTATATTCTGTTGGTGATAAGTGGTCCAAGGAGGTTTCCAGAACTTTCAATGCACTATCATCTCGTTCCCTCCATCTCTGCTCGTTAGTCTTATCACATTTTGCTACCCAACTGACTGGTTCACAAGCTCCGATGATGTCTCCTTCCCTTACTGTTATGGTGGTAGGTAACACATTTGCTACCCTCACAGGAATGTCTCGTTCGGTGGTCACTAAAGCTCGGGCAAGTAACAGCTTGCTGGGGGATTCCTCACATGACTGTACTAATCCAACGCAGCACCCAGGGTCCTTCTCCAATCGCGCATGGATGATCTTTTCAGTGAATCCAGGAATTCGCACAGTCTTCGCTAGTCGTAGCCTCACAAACGTCTCCCTCTCGGCCGGTGTCGTTAGTACAGACTCTTCTCCTCCAAATTTCATGGTCTTCTGATCACTGTCGAATGAAATCCCGTAGTCACTTATCAGATCCATGCCGAGGATGAACTCATCTTCGATATCTGCGACGTATACCATGTTCATTATATGGAGTCTTCCAAGCGTCAACTCAATATCAGCCATCCCTCGTATTGGTGCATTTTCTTCAGTGACCGTACGAAGAACAAAGTTGGAAGTGGTTGGTTTTATACTTCCAGGCCGGAGAATATCACTGCGTACCAGAGAAACTGATGCACCGGTATCTATGGTGCAGGTTACATCCATTTGGTTGATTTTTTCCTTTGATGGTCAGGCTATCAGTTGTTCTTCTTATCCTTTTGATGTTAATGACCCTGGGGGCTTCGTTATTGCTAGCCAGCATGCGCCCCGATACGCTGGCTAGTTCTAGTTTTCCTGGTATCTATCTGAGGACTCACTAGATGACCTAGTCCTCGCAGGTGAGTACGACCGTAATGGCGTCCTTGCAGGTGGAGAAGATCGTGGTGGTACTCTCACCTTACAGTCCCTTATCAGGTGTCCAGTTCTGCCACAGCGATAGCAGGATCTGTTTCGCTGGTTGCTTGACCCACTCTTAATTTCTTTGATCGAGTCCTTCAGTTCTTCAAACATTTTTCCTAACATTTTGGCCAATGGGTCCACGTGTTCGGAAGGCTCCTCTATGGACACAGCTCTCACTTTTGGCCTAGAGGTGTTGAAGGCCGCTTCTACCTCCAGAGATCTTACAAGGGCTTCACTGCTCCTCTTAAAGTGTGTTAGCCTCAGAGTCTTCTGTATTTCTGAGTCTCTCAGCCCGTCGATGAATACCTGCACCGCCAGTTGTTCTTTGAAGTTATCTGGTGCCTCTGGGTACGCTAATTGTGTCAGTCTTCTCACATCTGCTTCGAACTCCTGTAGGCTCTCTCCAGACTTCTGCACACGATTTTTCATCTGAGCCCGGTAAAGCTGTTCTCGATGTTGGTCTCCATACCTGAGTTCTAGCGCAGCCACTAAATCTCCGAAGTGGTTTTGTTGTTCCACTGGGATCGACTGTAACATCCCCAAAGCTGGTCCTCTCAGAGCTACAATGAGTGCAGTAGCTTTTTCCTCGTCACTCCACCCATTTGCACTTGCTGCAGCCTCAAATTGTCGGCGATACATAGACCAAGGCGACTGTCCATCAAAAGTTGGTGGTTTCACGGAAGAACCCGATGTGGCAACCCTGTCACGACGATCTTGACTCCGTAGCGAGGCGATCTGATTCGCTACATCTCTTTTGATTGTATCGAACATGGAATCTATTCTTGAAACTTCCTGGTTAAGCTTGTCGTCAATTTTGGTGAAATCTGTCTTCAACTCATCTATTTGCACATCAGTTTTATGCAGAATTTGTTCGAAGAAGATTTTCTGATGTTATCGTTCTTTTTCTTGATGCTCTAGAATTTTCTGTAACTCTTCTTGACGACGTTGCTCTTCTTCTAATTTTTCCTCTCGACAACGTTTCTCCTCCTCTTGTTTTTCTTTCTGTCGTCGTTCCTCTTGTTCCGCGAACTGATTTTGCATTAATTTCAAAATGTCTTCCATCGCGTCGTATGACGTACTCCTTGTATTCACCATACGTCTTCAAATGTCCTCGAAAAATCCACACTTCTGACACCACTGTTACGATTTTACTCTGGGTCCGTAATAACTTAACACTCGGTATAACACTTAAAATAATTTATTCTGAACACTACTATATAATAATTACAATACTCGTACTAAACACTTCTTCGATCGTTATTATAACGCTTCCAAATAAAGACTTCCCTTCCTGTCCCTAACAACAACTAATTATACTACCTAATAAAACGTCTAGATTCCAGAAATATCGTGAACAGGTCGATAATCTTCTCGAGTCATCTCAATAGCCTCTATTCCAAGAAATATGGTTTATTTACTTCCGTAGCAGGTAGCTAAGATTGATCGCCAGGGTCGTAACAATACTGTATATTATATATAAGCTCATTAGAAAAATGAATGGGTAAAAAAAATGATTACTCACATTTTCTATTTTCCATTCAGTCAATTTCCGGCGGAAATCGATTCTCACTCCCAATCTGAATGATTTCAACAATTCTTTGAGATCCTCTTCGGTCATATACAGTAGTCTTTCTCGAGTGATTTCTTCGGCTGCAAATGGTCACTCTTTACATTCATCAATATAAAAAAATATACTTAATTCATTTCATAATAATTAATTATTATTATTCTTATTATGGATGGTTCACGATGTTTCGCACAGTATATTATATTGAGAAAATAATTATTGCAAATATACCTACTGATTTGAATTATGGTGATTGAACTTTAGTGCTGAACCAAATTCCGCAATTTGGATTAATTACTCCTCTGAAAAATACCAAATACCTACCTACCTAGCATTTTAAAATTTGAAATGCTACGTTTCGCCTTGGCGCAAATAGGTAGCTGAACCTCGATCTGAACCATATCATCAATTTTTTGATAGGGATCTGGACATTTCGTTTACTACGTTTTTCAACAGATTCTGATACCTATCTCTATCCGAACGATCGATTGAATGAATATTTCAGTAAAACAAGCTCGAAAAAAAGTATGTAATGTTAAAATAATACCTATGATACCTACCCACCTTCAGTGCACTAAATAATTAAACTGTTTTGTAGGTTTTTATTCAAAATGGGTAGTACACTCAAAGAAATAGTATGGGTCGAATCAACAAAAAAAAGTGTTTAATCAACAACATCGTTATAATTGTCGAATTAAACTACAATTATGTTATATTCAATGATTATGTAATCGTTAAAACAACTGAGGAGAAATTGTACCTGAACAAATACAATGTCAACTGAAAATATTAGTTGGATTAGATAATAATTTTGTGGTACAACCACTAATTTGTTGAATTTTGTCAAATCAAACTGAAGATATAGTATTTCAACAATAATATACTGTACCTAAAATAATATTACAGTTCGGTTACAGTTATAGTTGGTATACGAACAATGAGTTAAAATCAACCTACAACTATTTCAAATCAAACTGAAGATAGTAATTCAACTATATTATATTGTAACTTGCATATTATAACAGCTTGCTCACTGTTATAGTTGGTAGACAAACGAACAGTAAGTTCGAATCAACCCATAATTATTTCAAATCAAACTAAGGATAGTATTCCAACTATATTATATTGTTACTTGAATATTATTACAGCTTGCTCACTGTTATAGTTGGTAGACAAACGAACGGTAAGTTTAAATCAACCTACAACTATTTCAAATCAAACCAAAGATATTATTTCAACTATATTATATTGTAACTTAAATATTATTATAGCTTGCTCACTGTTATAGTTGGTAGACAAACGAACAGTAAGTATAAATCAACCTACAACTATTTCAAATCAAACCAATTATAGTATTTTAACTATATTATATTGTTACTCAAATATTATCATAGCTTGCTCACTATTATAGTTGGTAGACAAACAATCAGTAAGTTCAAATCATCCTACAACTATTTCAAATCAAACTAAAGATAGTCTTTCAACTATATTATATTGTAACTTAGATATCATTACAGCTTGTTCACTGTTATAATTGGTAGACAAACGAACGGTAAGTTTAAATCAACCTACAACTATTTCAAATCAAACTAAATATAGTATTTCAACTTTATTCTATTGTAACTTGAATATTTTTACAGCTTGCTCACTATTATAGTTGGTAGGCAATTCCTAAAAATCTTATTCGGCCATTTCTGTTGCTCAAATCTCTGATTTTTAATTTCATTGAAAGCTTAGTTTTTATTTGATTCACTTCATCAACTGACCTTGACAACATAATTATATCATCTACACAAATAAGTAAAAATATACCTACATTCTGTATAATAAAGACATGGATCAGCTTGTGAACGAACAAAGTTCATTTTCAACAGATAGTCATTTATGTAATCATTCCAACATTTAGGACTCTGTCTAAGCCCGTAAAGTGCCTTGTTCAATTCACATACCTGTCCTGATGTGTATCTTGAAAAGCCATCTGGTGGATGCATATATACTACCTCATTTAGGTTACTTTTTAGAAATGCTGATCTAACATCTAGCTGATGAATAGTTAGATCTTTCTCTACTGCTAGGGCAAGTAATACTCGAAGTGTCACCATCCTGGCTACAGGTGCATATACTTCCTCTTCTGATGATGGTTGTTGATAGCCTCTGGCTACCAACCTAGCCTTCTTCTTCAGTTTCCCATCTACCATCTTCTCACAAAACACCCACTTGGAGTCAATAATGGTCACATCTGGGTGTGGAAAAACCATTTTCCAGGTGTTATTCTGTTCCAGTGATTGTAGTTCCTCATGAATAGCAAGTTCCCAACCGTTTTGCATGTTTATGGCTTCATTATAACTTTTTGGAATTTCTTGAGGCAAATGACCAGCTGACAAAGCGGCCATTACTTCCATATCACAGTTTAGATCATAATCTAGTAGATGCCTTGGTACTCTCCTATTTCTTTCACTTTTACGAGTGAAAGTTTCAGGCTCTTCATCATCAGACTTTCCAGAATTAGTGTCATCTTCCTCCTCTACATCTTCCACTTCATCTTTTTCATTTTCAACTTCCTCTATAGTTCTAATTAATTCGATTTCATTATCTAAGACATTTTTGTTTTCATCAAAAATAACAGATCTAGAAAAAATCACAGTATTTTCATGTATATCATATAATTTATATCCATTATTACAGTAACTAATGAAAATCATTTTCCTTGATCTAGAGTCTAATTTTCCAATACGATTTTCTTTTGGTACATGTACATATGATATACAGCCAAAAACTTTTATTTTGTTCCATACCACAGTTTTGCTGGTGTAGTATTTTTATGTATAGACCTTGATTCAATTCGATTATATAGATAAACAGCTGCCAATAATGCATCTCCCCAAAAACTTTTATCAAGCTTCGAATCAAAAATCAAACAACGAGATTTTTCCATGATAGTTCTATTAAATCTTTCAGAAACTCCATTCTGTTCAGGATTCCTTGGTATTGTATATTCAATTTGTATTCCTCTTTTCTTACAGAAATTTTTAAATTCTTCAGAACTGTATTCTCCCCCATTATCGCAGCGTATTCTAGATATCTTTGAATTCAATTTTGCACCAACTAGTGCTTCATACTCTTTAAATTTTTCAATAACTTCAGATTTCTTTTTCATAAGATATACATGGGCAAAATGTGTTTAATGATCTATAAAACTAACATAATACCTCATATTATCACGAGTTGGGGGTGTAATGGGACCTGCAACATCAGATGAAACAATTTCCAGTACCCTCTTAGCTTTCCTTTCTTCAGGTAGAAACTTGAACATAGATCGAGTCTGTTTCCCCTTCAGACAGATTTCACATATGGTTTTTGATGGATACTTGGATGAATGTCCCATTCTTCTATGCATCAATTCCTGATCATCAACAACATTTGCACTGAAAAATCTAGCTCTGAGAGATATAACATACAAATTTCCTCTCAAAACGCCTTCCAAAAATGTCATGTTATTGTCCTCTGTACATATTTTCACTTTCCCATTCTCAAATATAATCTTGAAGCCTTCATTTTCAATTTTTTTTACTGATAATAGATTATATTCCAAGTCATCACTTTGAAGTACATTTTTCAGCTTGAATTTTCTTCCACTCTCATTTTCTTCTACATGTAAATTTCCACTCTTGAAAACTTTGATTGCGGAGCCCTTCTTAGCAACATTAATGGTATAATTTACTGACTGTATTTCAGTTAAATAGGCACTAGCTTGTTTGTTCACCAAGTGGTTTGTTGCCCCGGAGTCAACAATGAATAACAACTGTTGTCGTTAATTTGGTTTTCGACAATCTCAGTTTAGGTTATTGTTATATATTTAGGGCACCAGCTAGCTCACTCAAGAAATACACTAAATATTATATTTCATGAACCATAACATTCGGAACGAGTAATAATAACATCAATATACTGGACAACATTGAGTCTTCTTGCTCATTAACAACTCAAAAAAAAAAACTATCTTGTGTCGACTTCGACGTGAGCTCGACTACCGTTCAGTGCTCACTCTCGACTCTCGGGGAAATTTCAGACGGCTGTGACCGTAAAAAATGAAACACCGTTCCCGGACGCGATTTTACTAAATATAAACTATTGCAGCACAAGACACGCCCCCTACTACGGCATTGCAAAATATAATCGAGCCCAGCACAATCCTGCAAAATCTAATCTTTGACAGCACAACGTAGCTGATTCATATAAATAAATCGATTGAAAAAGTAGCACATACCACGTTATATCTCATCCTCAAAGTACTTTACTTAGGCAAAACTCAGAGACTATTTATCCTCAACGAACTAACCTATCCCTGATTGCAATATTTTTGAGGAAGGAAAACCGAATGGAGTGTAGAAACACATTGATTAATAATATATTTCAAAAGTTGAGTTCTTCAACAAAATTGAATAAAATGAGACTGTTTATCCTAAACGCACTAACCTATTTGACTTCAAATATTTTATGAAAAAGGAAAACCAGAATGAAGTAAAAAAACATTGGTGAAAAAAAAAAGTTGCAAAAAAAAGTTCGAGTTCACAGCGATTCGAACCATGAACCTTCAGACTGAGAGTCGACAGCGCTAACCAGAAGACCATTTGGGTGTATGAATTTACTGCGTACAAGAGATTGACAACGAGAAAGCTTCAGTTCTTGCGTTGGAGCACAGTATGAGATATGACGTATTATGGTGGGCGTGTCTTGTGCTGCAATAGTTTATATTTAGTAAAATCGCTTCCCGGACCTCGTCAGATGACCATGGGCGTAGGCAACGAATTTTGTTATTTTATTTAGAAAATTATTATTCCTACAACACCCCCCCACCTTAGAACGCGTTCCGAATGCTTTTGGTTCTCTTTATTTCAAATTGCCAAAATCATTACAAAACAGAAATAATGAGGACTCATAATAAAAATGAACATGATATTCCCATTCTGGAATAACATCAAACATTAAAAATGAAAACTACAATTTTCACAAAAAATAAACAATATTGTGACTGAATGAATTTGTCAAATTTAATTTGACCACTGACCAAAGAACACTTCACATATTATGAAAATTCAAACTAGTAATAAGGTCCGATACAACATATTCACTTATAACAGTACTACTGTCTCAATAGAACCAACCTCAAAGATGATAGCTATCATTTGTCAATTCACCTGTTCGACAAATAAATATATCAGTTTAAGAACATCAATTCATCCGTTTGATAGTTCTTCATAAGGCACAAACAGAAAATATCAACACAACCATATGCCAATCTCAAAACTAGAAATCTTGGAAAAGAAAGAATATCAGTTCGTCCGTCTAATAATTCCAGAAATAAAAATGTAGGAATGTAGAAATGGTAAGAATATCAGCTAATCCATCTGATAGTCCCAAAAGTAAGAATACAAAAGGTAGGAATAGGGAGAATATCAGTTTATCCATCTGATAGTCCCAAAAGTAAGAATGTAAAAGGTAGGAATAGGGAAAATATCAGTTTATCCATCTGATAGTCCCAAAAATAAGAATGTAAAAGGTAGGAATAGGGAAAATATCAGTTTATCCATCTGATAGTCCCAAAAGTAAGAATGTAAAAGGTAGGAATAGGGAAAATATCAGTTTATCCATCTGATAGTCCCAAAAGTAAGAATGTAAAAAGTAGGAATAGGAAAACAGGAAAACATCAGCTCATCCGTCTGACAGTCTGAGAAATAAAAGTAGATGAGGATTGCATATTGCTGATTGCTGATCTATTCGTTTACATATCAAGTGATCAGTCCAAAGTATCGTCCTTGACTAACAAAGGGTCCTTCTCAACTGCTCCAGTGGAACATCGTCTTCATCTGTCTCATCAGAGGTTTCATCGTTCTCATGAAATATATCATCGTCCGCTGTTTCCAATCCATCCAATGGAATTAATCGAATATCATCAATATGGTATTTCAGGGGAATTCCATCTCGTATCACGGTGAATATACTATCGGGGTGACGTTCAACTATGTCACAAGGTCCAATCCATGTAGGATGAAAAGCATTTTCCGTAACAGGCCGTGTTTCTCGAACCATCACCTTGTCTCCAATTTCCAAGGTTCGGGGTTCATGCACATTTTGTTGTGTATATTTTTCTTGGTAAATCTTCTGACGGTGACGTATTTCTTCAAGTCGATTTTCTCGCTGACTACCCTGATTCACCAACAGAGCTTGGTTCCTTGGAAGCGCCCAATCTCCCGGTGGATTTGGAGAATACCCCAGCAACGCCATAGCAGGGGAACAGCCAGTAGCAGCATTCCTCCGGGACCTAATAGCAAATAGGACGCGGGGCAACGACTTATCCCAGTCTCGAGGGTTCTTATTCATCATAAAAGCTCTTAATGTACATTTAAATTCTTTATTTCTCCTTTCAACAGGATTAGCTCGAGCATGAAATATAGCTGTAGTGACATGAGTAATATTGTGCTTTTTTGTGAATTCATCCCAAAGATG